TGTGTGTGTGGGTGGGTGTGTGTGGGTGTGTGTGTGTGTGTGTGAGTGGGTGGGTGTGTGTGCGTGTGTGTCGTCAGGTGTCCTTGTCTCTGTACATGGGAGCTTGTATGCCGTCATGGTCGCCCCTCATTGTTCCCTCTCATCATCGAATCGCCCTTCCCCCATGCTGCAGGCGGCTGCGTGGATGGAGTGCGTCAAGCAGTGTGCAATGACCGACAACACGCCCCTCACAAAGGTGAGCAGCACGCGTCACAGGGGGCGAGGGGTGGGGGATTAAGAGAGTGCGTGTGTTCATCCACGCACGCACACACGTGCACACACACACGCCTGCACAATGAGCCAAGCGCACACCGTGTGCAACACTGTCACATCACGCTTGATGCTGACGCAATCTTCTCTGTGTGCCCATGTGTGTGTGTGTGTGTTTAGGCGGAGGTTCGACTGCTGACTCGGTGGAGGAAACAGCAGGCTGCCGCGTTTTATCGCTGGACACAACGCGACAGTGCGTTTGTTGTTTATAATTTTATTGCGTGATGACATGTGACACCACGTTTTGAATGGTCCTGTTGCATGGCAGTCCTGGTGTTCTTTTCCCGCGCTGCCCTTCTCACCCTCACCCGTCATACTCATGCTCGTGCACGTGTGCACATTGCTGTGCCGTGTGCCTGTTGGATGCGCTGGGCGACAGAAGCGATGCACTCGCAGTCCCAACAACACGCGCGTGCCGTCAACCTCAAGCGCATCCAAGGAGTGCGTGCATGCATGGTTGTGCGTGTGTGTGTGTGTGTACGTGTGAGAGTTTGTGTCTGTTTGCCTGCATGTGCATGTATGTGCATGTCTACAGTTGCTGCTCTCAATGTGTGTGTGTGTGTGTGTTCGGCGGGCACTTGCTTACGTGGTCATTGCATTCCATGACGCATCACTTCTCGGAACAGGCTCGTGACTTCCTCGGCATCGGTGTCCGGGATCAGCGGATGAATGATCCGACAATGACGGAGGATTTCCTGAAGCACTTCCTCTCCTTCAGAGAGCGGAAGATGAAGTGAGTTGTCACGCGTGTTCTTGTGTGCGCAAGCGAGAGTGCGTGCATGCGTGTGTTGTTGTTGTTGTTGTTGTTGTTGTTGTTGTTGTTGTTGTTGTTGTTGTTGTTGTTGTTGTTGTTGTTGTTGTTGTTGTTGTTGTTGCTGCTACTGCTGCTACTTGCACGTTGTGTGTGTGTGTGTGTGTGTGCGTGTTTTGTGTCCTCCGCTCACATATGCATGGTGGCCACTTCACTACATGAATTGCGATGCTCACCATCGTGCAGTGTCAAGTTGAGGCACCTTTGTTGCCGTGAAGGAGCGTGACAAGCTTGAGGTCATTCACCAACACACGTTTTCACACGCAACCTTGACACTTGTGCTCGATTTGCTGTTTTGCGCAAGCAC